GAGCTAAGCAGACAGTTGTGGGAACCCCCCCACCCCCCTGCCAGGAATGGAGCAGAGAGGGAGTGCCGAGTCCTGAAGGCCACCCCTTATCGCCCGTCCACTGAAGCTCCGTGCCAAGCACGTCTTCCCAGAACCCACAAGGATACTCTGTCTCATGGGCAGAGGGAGGGCCAGGCCTGGCATGTTTGATGTTGCAGGGGCCACTTGGGGTCCACGGGGCCAGGATTTGGCTGGACCCAGCAGGGAGCCCTGCCCCGGCCACATTAATTTTATAACCAGGAAAAGAAGTTTAAAAAACAAAGTGAAGAACTAGGCCTTGGGGCAATCCAGGGCCTCCTCCTCCCCACCCCTCTGTCTCTGTCTCCATATCTCTCTGGACCAGGACACAGAGGCCAGGCTTCCTGTGGGTGGGGGGTCTGTCTGGAGGCCCCATGAGTGGTGGGCAGGGCCCCCTGTGAACTGGAGCCCTGTGCCTCATCTGGCCTCTGGAATCTGGCCTCCACACCTGCCCAGCAGGACCATCCTCGTTACTCGGGGAGGGGGCTCTGCCCAGTGTTCCTGCCCACACCGCCCTGGGAAGTCTGGCCTGGCCCCCGACAGGTGCCGCCAGGCTGTGTGGCCCAGTGCTGGGTTTCACTCAAAGCACTGAGCTTGGAGTAGGGCAGGCATGCAGGGGCGCCTGCTGGGGGCCTCCTGACCTCAGCTCTCGGGCTGCAGCGGTTCCTGAGCCCACCCTTCACCTCCCAGGTCGGCAGAACAGACCTGTGAGGGCCTCAGAGCCGGAGTGGTGGCTGGTATTGGAACCTGCACTGAGTCCCCGAGCCACCTCCACCTCCTCCATCTGACCAGCTCCACAGGGCAGCAGAGGGAGGGACCTGGACACAGAATCTACCTGTCATCGCCTGGCCTTGGGGAAACACAAGACAGTGGGTCCGGTCCCCTCCTCCCAGTGGGTGGGGCGTCGTTCACTCCCCCCAGGACAGTCCTTGGCTCCTCAATTTCAAAGGGAAAGGCAGTGGCAGGGACAATGAGTGTGGCAGCAGACACCCCAGAGGGCTGGCTGATTGCCCCCGTCTTTGTCTTTACACCTCTCTGGATTTTAAACGTGCTTTATAACCAGTCACATTAATATAATTTAGGAAAACACAGCAAAGAACTAGGTCTTAGGGCAATCCAGGGCCTCCTCCCCCCACCCTCTGTCTCTCTGTCTCCATATCTCTGTCTCCCTGTTTGTCTGCCTCTGGCCTCCTTCCCTCCTGCAGACCCTGGGCCCCATGAGCCCCAAGGTCAAGAACAGCAGTGCTTTCCCAAGCGCCCTGGAGACAGCTGTGAGGGGAAGGGCCACTCACCTACCCCTCTCCTCACGGGGCTTCACTATCAGCCCAAGACTCAGTAGAAGGTTCCCCTCAAAGGCCTCAGTGAGTGTGGGGAGTGTCTGTGAATGTCAGTAGGTGAGTGTGCGTGTGTGAGCGAGTGTGAGCATGTCTGAGATCTTGGAGAGAGGCCCCGCTGTTCCCCCCGTCACCCACAGTGCAGTGGGTCACCCCTCTTTGTCTCCCACCCCCAACCCTCAGGGGGCGCCCAGCCCAGAGGTCCTGCCTTGCCCAGGAGGCTCCTGAGCCCCCTGACCCATTAGTCTCTGCCCCCGTCACCCACAGAGCAGTGGCCTGAAGTCCCAGTCAGCGTCTGGGGGAGGCCAGTCCCTGCCAGAGGGCGGTCTGCACACAAGCCCCTGGCACGGGCAGGGTAGTCACCTGTTGTCCCGCTCAGCCCGGGTCTGCAGTTTCTCAGTCTCACTCCTCCACCCGCCCAAACGGGTCCAGACCACCGTGGGGTCTGTGTCAAGAGGGCCTGAGTGTGTTCATGGGACATGGATGGTAACACCCTCGGCTGACTTCCCCCACCTGTCCACTTGTCCCTCCACCTGAGCGGTCTGTCTTTGTCCACCCAGAAGCCCTAACACAGGCTCCATCAACAAGTGGGGTAAGAGCCTGAGGGGCTGCTGTACACAGAGAGACACGTGGACACACACACACACACATACTTCCACACACAGCAGGAGCTGAGCTGCCTGCCTGGGGCACCTGCCTAGCAGGGGGTGTTGTGTGTCTATATGGGCTCTCTGTTGGCAGCCTTGGGTTTTTGATAGCTCTCCCCTCTGTGCTGTCTCCCTAGCCTGTGCCTGCATTCTCACCCTCGAGCCTGCAGACACCCCCAGGGGCTCTGGGAGCAGAGCGGAGGACACATGGCAGGCGATGGGGGATAAACTCCCCTCTGATCCTCTGGGCAGACTGGGGGTGGGGATCGGTGGTCCTGGGGCTCAGTGCCCTGGGCAGGGGCGCTGCTGTGCCCACGCTGGGAGCAGGGAGGGGAGGGGATGGGAGAGTCGCCAGTGTGCATTTTCCGGCCCTGACGCAAGCAGTCGCAAGTTGGGAGATAAGTGCCGGAGGAGGGCGGCCGGCCAGGGCTGGCCCTGTCCCAGCTCCCCGCTAGCAGCCCCCAGGATCCGTGGGCCTCCCCACCCGCCCTTCCGCTCGCCCGGCCGAAAGGCACAACTCAGCACTTTGCTCAGAGCGGGGCTTTGTGCCCCGATCTCGCAGGTGCGGGGGTGGCCAGGTCCTTGGCCGGCACAGCCTGCAACCACATGTGACAGCCGCTGCCCTGGGAGCCCAGCCGTCAAGGTCTCCGTCTCGCATAAATGGGGCACGCAGCCGGCAGGCAGCTGCAGAGCGCCTCGCTCAGCTCAGCGGGCAGCTCTCCTCAGCGGCTGCCCAGGACCTGAGATTGGAGGCCGGACGAGGTAAGGTGGAGGCTCGGGGCCTCCCTGCCTCCTGGCCGGACACAGCTCACACCCACGGGACTCGCCGAGCTGCAGCTCCTCCGGCTGGCCTCGCAGGACCCTCGCCAGGACGGCCTCCCTGGCGCCCAGCAGCCACCCACAGTCTCTCGCGGTTCCTTTTTCCTATGCATATACTTCTTTGAGGGTCTGGCCTAAAGAGGTGTAAGGCATGGGAAAATGGGGCGACGAGGTTCTCCTTCCGCTGCATCCGCATCCTGACCTGCCTCCACTCCCCTGGAATCGGCTGTGGGACCCAGAGGGCTTCCTTGCCCTCCTCCTCGGGCGGGCGGGGGTGGTCAGGATCCCAGGAGGGGAAATCTGGAAACATTTGTTTTTGTGTGTGTGTGTGCCCTTGAGGGGTGGGGAGGATGGCGCAGGCCCCAACCCTGCCTGATCTTTGCCCCCGGAGCCGGGTGGGGCAGCCCAGACCCTGACCTGACGACTCTCCCTGGGGGTGAGGGGCTGGGTCCGGGGCCACACAGGGGGACTGACTGGGTCTCCCGTGGAGGTGAGAGCAGCTTGAACATCTACAAGCGATCTGTGCTTCTTGCACCTTCATTATACTTTTGTAACCACCAGCAGGAGCTGATGTTCTGACCAGAAATGTCAATAAAGCGAATTCCACGGCAAGTGTGGTGTTGTTTTGACAATAAGTTTAAAACAAAGTTGCAGCTGCTGTGTGCTGGCTTCCTCTCGTCTCTGTGGGCCAGGGGTGGGGGGTGGGGGGTCACACTGGACAGAGCGGTGTTATGGGGGAATAAAACACACACATGAGGGGGAAGAAATGACTCCCACCCACAAGGCGAGGTGGTTCCTGATGACCTTCTGATAACCAGGGTCGCTGGAAGCCGGACACTCCCAGGGCGCCTGCTGGCAGAAGGTGGGGATGGGCCGGCCAGGAATGCCGGGGCCAGACCCCCAGGGCACAGCGCCCCCGGCCCCTCGCCCGTGTGTCTTAACTTCCAGGTGGAGAAAAGGACAGGGGCCTGGGAATTGAGGGCTTAAACAATTGTCCGATTACAGGCAGCAAATGGAGCGATTAGCTCTATCAGCCAGGGTCCTGCCCAGAGGGCCTCTCCCCTAATCTCACTGATAGGAACTGGCTCCTCCCTCAAAAGACCACAGCCTCTGGGGGGGAGGGGTCAGTGCCGCAGGGACGCCCGGCCAGGGAATAGGCCCTTCCCATCCCATCCTTCCCGATCGAACTGGGGGTTGGCTATGCTGCTGAGCCGCATGAGGCGCTGGTGGGACTCTTGAGTAAGAGGGAAGCAGGTATGAGGGTACCCCAATGCATCAGCTTCACTGTTCCCTGTGTGGGGACAGCTGTGGGCTGTAGGCATGGCTGAATTCAGGATGCCAAAGGCTCTGCCTGGCTCTCCACTTTTACCGACAGCGGCTGCAACATGGCTCCTGGGCCCAGGGAGAAGCAGCACTCTCCTGGGTCCCTAACTGGCCTGTGGGTCACATGCTGCACCCCAGCTCAGGGTGGGGGTCTCTTGTCCACAGCTTCCTGGGCAGGGAGAGCATTCGTGTCCAGAGAGCCCAATGTAAAAGGTCAGTGTAGCAGGGGGTGTGCAGGGTCACCCCTAAGGGGCTGCATCTGTTCAGGAAACCCACTATGCCCACTTTCCTTATGGGGTTTATGGGGGGGGTCTGAGCAACTTTCCCTGCCCACCCCCCAGATCAAAGCTTGAGCGCAAAGACCGGGAGGCTCAGGATAGGGACATGTGCCTGGCCCCGGTAGAGGAAGGGTCCACCTTTATTTTTTCCAACTGAGAAAACATTTTTCTGACGCCTTAGATGGACTAGATTACCTTCTATTAGGTGCTAACAGCCCAGCACAGAACCAGTCTACTCGCTTTCCATTCTGTTCACTGAGCGATCAGAAACCCTTTAATAGCTTTCAGTAAAGGGGCAGCTCTAAAATGCCTTCGATTGTAAACCCTCCAGAACCTTCTGGCGGGTCAGGGTTCCAGGTCCCCTCCATGCATCAGCACAAGGCCCACACCAGGGTGTTAGGGTGGCGTAAACTGACATGCGGATGACGATCTCTCCAGGTAGATGCCAGGCATGCTCTGCACACACCCAGTGTGTGTGTGTGTGTGGGATGATTTGGCTTCTGACGCACCCCAACTGCAGGCTACTGGGCTGCCCTGCTTCCTCAAAAGGCATCTCGAGTCTCCGGCAGAACATACAGGCGCCAGGTTCCCCTGGACAAGGCCGGGCCCAGCGTGTGCGCCTGGCTCCCAGGATCCTGCAGGCAGCACATCAGAGGCTGTCTGCTGCTCGAGGCCCACGCCGAGGCCAGGGAGGCTTGTTCCCCTTGGCAGGGGTCCCAGAAGGAGCCAGGGGGCTGTGCTAGAGCTGAGGGCCCAGACAGGGATGCCCACGGGTGCAGCAACTGCAGGGGGCTGCCCAGGGCAGGTGGGCAGAAAGCCAGGGGCGAGTAGACTGCTCCAGAGAGGGAGACGTTCAGCTGTGAGTCCTGCAGTTGGCGTTTATGTTTCATTCGGCGATTCTGAAACCAGGTTTTGATCTGTGGGGAAAACAAGGTCAGAGCGGGCAAACAGGCCACCCCCCGCCCCCCAGCCCCACTTGGTTTGCTGAGCCCAGAGGCCTCACCTGCACCTCCGAGAGCCCCATGGTCTGGGCCAGCCTCCGGCGCTCCTGGGGGTCCAGGTAACGGTGGAGCTGGAAGGAGCTCTCCAAGGTGCTGACCTGCTCCTCCGTGAAGGCTGTGCGGACGCGGGGAGGTCGAGGGCTGTCTGCCTCCTTGCTCAACCCTGGGGGAGGGAGGAAGGACAGGCACTGAATCCATTTGGCTACCAGGGACATTGGCTTACAAGAGACACCCTCCCCTTGCTCAGTGGGTGCCACAAGCTTTGTGGCTGAAGATGACAGACACGGTGATCAATATGCCTGGGGCCTGAAGAAGGGCAGATCGCCCTCCCTAGCCTCACTTTTTGTGGCAGCCCTCCAGTGTTCTGCTGTCCCCCTCAGGGTTGGCGATGGCTCCTCCGCCCAGCCACGTGTGCAATAGGGTCCAGAGGCTGTGGCGCAGGACAGCACGGGGATGTGGACACTGCAGAAAGGTCAGTGGCTCCGACACAGACCCTCCCCTGCCACCGCAGGGCATTTCGCTCCCGAAAGAATGACTTCCACCCACCCCACCTCCTTCCAGAAAAGGTTTCTTTTGCCTGCAGACAAGGAACTCCTGTTCATCAAGTGAGAGGAGGTGAGAGGGGCTGGTAGGGGTGGGGCGGGTGGAGTCCATTCTATGCAAGGCCTAGAGCAGTGATGGCGAACCTCTTGAGCTCGGTGTGTCAGCATTTTGAAAAGCCCTAACTTAACTCTGGTGCCGTGTCACATATAGAAATTTCTTGATCTTTGCAACCATAGTCAAACAAAGACTTATATTTTTGATATTTATTTTATATATTTAAATGCCATTTAACAAAGAAAAATCAACCAAAAAAATGAGTTCGCGCGCGTGTCACCTCTGACACGCGTGTCATAGGTTCGCCATCACTGGCCTAGAGGGACCAACTGGGAAAGCAGCCTTCATCACCAGGAACCAGGCTGTCGGCACCAAAGGTGTCTGGAAGTCCAGTCTTCTAATTTCTAAACTAGGAGGTGGGGGACGGCACTCAGCACCCCCCCAACCCCCCGCCCCGCCACGCACGAGGTACGGTCAACCAGTGTGGTGTAGGTCCTTCACATGGTCTTTACTGAACAGAAGTCTGACCAATAAAATACACCAATTATTTGCTTTGGGAGAAGCAGATTTTACAAAGTTGTTTTTAACACTTTCCCGTGGTGTCCACCAGAGGAGCACACACTCACTCGAGGGGCAGTGGGGGTGGAGGGGGTGACTGGCCAGCACGAAGGATTCTGACGCAGCCATTGGGGTTTGTTTGTTTGTTTGTTTGTTTGTTTTTGGGGGGGGGTGGCTACTGGTTGCAGAGAATACATTTAAAATTCGACCTCATTAAAATATAAAACTACTTCATAAGAACTAAACGTTTTAAAAAACAAAAGCTTACAGATAATATAAACCCCCACTTTCAACCTAAAGGCAATGACCAAGTCACATCGAGTAAAAGGCAGACGGAGAAAGTGTCGTCAGTAAACAAAGGGCTGGGCAAGGCTCAGGAGCAATGGGCCCAAGGCAGGGAACTCACAGGTACAGTCCGGTGTACGGAAAAGCAGAGGCTGTGTCCTCAGGAGTCGGGGTTGTGGCTGCCCCCAAATCAAGCCTGCAGGATTCCAGGGGAACTGGAGTGACAGTCCAGATGCCAAACTGGGAGCCCGGCTTTGGGGGCGAGGAGAGGGGGGACGGCACAACCACCTTCTGACCTGGCCAGGTGTCACAAGCTTTAAGACGTACTTATCCGCGACCCCGCGCCTCTTGTCGAAATGGGTCCAGGACTATTACGACTAGAAAACCACGGTCATGGCCCACAGTGAAGACCTGGGCGAGGATCCGTGGGCACAGTCCGTGGGCAGCCGGGCCTGGGCGAGAGGGCCAGGCCAGTCCCTCCAGGAGGAGGGTGCAGAAGGAGCCCAAGGGGCTTGAGGAGGGAAGACCAGCCGTGTGGCTTTTGCTTCCGAAGGAAAACCTTCACTTGCCAGGGGGATCGGGCAGAAGCCCAGCCCTTCTTCCCACCTGAGCACACAGGATGCCTGTGTTTTTGGCCTCCATTCGCCTGAACCTTCCCCAGTCTGGGAAGGAAGGATCCCTCTCCCCACACCCAGACCTACCAGTCGTGGACGTCCCTGGTGTAGACACTGCTGAGGACTTCGCCTCCTCCATGCCCACGGCCTGCGGGGGTTCCCCACCGCTGGACACCCTGGCTGGGGCAGAGAGGCTGCCCCAGGAGACTGCAGTGGGCCTGGAGGTGTGCGCCGGCCCCACGTGGCTGCTCTGGGAGAGCCAGTCCACAGAACCAAAGCTGGAGGTCGGCTTTTGGCCGCCGGGCAGGTCGGAGGAGGGCGGCATGCCTGGACGCGGGGACAGCTCTGGATCCGCCTCGGAAAAGAAGGTGGAGGCCGGGCTCCGGGTCTTCGGCGGGACAGGCGGTGGGGGCTGGCGCCGTGTGGGCGGGGCAGGGCCAAGCTGGGTGGGGGCACAGGGTCTGTCTCAGGTTCAGCAGGGCTGGGCAGCATTTATAGCTCATCAGGAGGAGGGGGTGGGAAGCGCATTTGCATGGGTAGCTCAAATCCCCCCAGATAAGTAGCATCTAATTGCCTTCAATTCGGAGGCACAAAGGAGGCCATTCACACCTCCCCCGGCTCCAAGATGTCTCGGGGAGGGGTGGGGCTGTGTGGCTGGGGATTTGTCAGATCCTTTCATCTCCCCACCCCCACCCGCTGGCCGAGGCTGCGGGAAGGTGAGGGTGGCCCCGCCAATGTCAGCTCCCACCCTGTCCTGTGGGCTTCTGGGACCACCTTCTTCGTTCTCCAAGCTGTCCCGGAGGTCTACAGCGCCAGACAGAGGCGACAGGTGTGCAACGGAGACAGGTTGCTTCAAGCTGGGGGAGTCAGCATCCATCCTGCTTCCGTGACAGGGTGGGCGGCCAGTGAGAAGGGAGTCTGCTGCCTCCAGGCGCCTGGCTGGGTAGGAATGTAAAGCAGGCCAGACGGGGCAGGGAGGGGCTGTCCAGAGAGGGACTGCCCGGCTCCTGTAGACCCTCTGTCTGGCTGTTCCCAGCCCCCAACCAGCCCCTGGGCTGGGGTCCTTTAGGGTGCCCTAGGAGCTGCTGCCAAATTCCAGTGACTCAAAGGAGGAGGGGCCTGCTGGCTCAGGTCATGGGCACCTCCCTCCTCTGCTCCCTCCCGGGAGGAACCAAGCAGGAAGGACAACACAGCCACCGTCCTCTGCGGAGGGTCGAGATTCAGCTGCTGCCCCCTTTGTAGTTGGGGTGTGTGTGTGTGTGTGGGGTGGTGGTGGTTATGCAGCAAGAGCTTCAGGGGGTGCCCTAGGGACGGTCACTTTGGCCAATGCTGCTTCACTCCTGACCTGGCCAGGTCGGCTTCCAGGGTTCGGCGCTCTGGGGGAAGCAGAGGGCGCAGGCAGGTGGGCCCAGCGGGGTGACAGCCCCTCTGACAACCGCCCCACCCCAGACCGCACATCACCGGGACCTCTCCTACCTAGGCGGGCCTGCGCCTGTTTCCTGGACGCCACTCCGCAGACGCCTGTTAGGTGCACGGCGGAAACCCACCAACGGGCCCTCGAGCTCGGGCTCCGAGGCGGGTGCGGGCAAGGGTCCGGCCGCCGAACCAATGGCTGTTTTCCGTGCTGACTGTTAGGTCAGCAGCCTGGGGTCCTGGGGCGCTGGCGCCAGTCTGGGCCGGGCACCGACGGCCACCCCGGGTCCCCCAATGCCGCCTGTGGAATCAAAGGGCTCGCGGGCCCGGCCTCGGGATTAGCACCCAGCCCCACCTCCCCAGCCGCTCAGGCCACAAGGGGCTAGAGGTGTGGGAGCCGGACCCACACCGGCACAGCGGGAACCGGCCGGCGCTGACCCAGGTCTTCCTCCAACCCCTGCACCGGCTGTGTCCAGTCACCAGACCCCACGGGGTGAGGCTGGGGATCTGGGTCACTGGCCTGTGTCCCGAGTGGGGACCTGCGCAGAGATCCTCTGGGACTGACGGGGTGGGGGTGCCTCACAAACCCAGCAAAGGGAAGACTCCCCACCCCCAGGACGGCTCCGCGTGCAGACAGGCCTCCGATGAGGAGCACCGCTGGGTGGGAATCCCGCACTGTGTGCCGGGCGCCCAAGGTGCTAATTTAGGAAACGTCCGCCATTAACCTGCCCCAAGCTTTCCAACGCCGCGTTCAGCACCTCCTCATTTCTGATCTTTCAGGACTTTGGCCTCTGACCCCATACACAAACCTTTCCCAGCACCCCATCTCTGCCAGGCGGCTTCCTCCCTAATCCAGACCCTCCTGCTTTCCCTTTCCCGCTCCCGTGCCTACACCGCCCTCCCCCCCCACCCGTTCCATAGACCGAAGGTGACCCAGCCTCAGCAGGTCAGAGACCCCTCCTTCCTGGCGGCTGCCTGGCTGTTCCCTGCAGCACTGCCTGGTCTCCGGAAGGCTGTCCCCCAGCAGCTGGCTCCTGTCCAGTGGGGTCCCTCCAGCTAACCCCAGTGACTGTGCCACGCGTGCCTGGAGGCAGCTTCCTCACTTGGCTTTGAGTGGAGCATTTGGGGCAGTCTGGACCCTCTCCCCCGCCTCCCACCCCCAGTTCCGGGAGCCGCACCCTGGGGTTCTGCCCCTCCTCGGAGACCTGGTGATTACGGGCGTGGCCTCGGCTCTGGACCTTTGGCCCCAATCCCACGCCTGCACGACTCAGAGTCGCCTCCTGCCGGTCTCTGCAAGGGTGACTGGGCCTGGAGGTGAGTGGTAGATGCGCTCCCCACACTCAGGCCCCCGTCTGTCACTCGGAGGCTTGGCAGCCCCGCCCCCCACGGCCGTTCCCATGGCCCCAGCCCTGCACCCCACACTGGGCCCGGGGTCCTGCTGCCTCAGCCCCGCCCTGTTCTTGCTCATGCATTCACTGGCCTGCCACCGCACACTCCATCACTCACAGGGGCATTCCTGCCCCTCCACTCTGCCTTGCCCCTCCCTGAGCCCCCGAGCCTACCCTCCTAGCCCCTTTGTCCCCTTGGGCCCTTCCTCGTGGCCCCCAATTGCTTGTTTGTGCAAAGAACCAAGGGGTGGGTGGGGGCGAGGTGGGCATGACCCCACCCCAGCTGGGTGAGAGTCTGGGAAGAGAGCACCTGGTGGGTGGATGGGTTGGAGGTGGCAGATTCCCAGGTGGAGGGTGTGATGAGTCAGCTCCCCATCCTCCCGCCTCAAGCTGATAGTGGAGGACGGCTCATTTCTGTCCATCTGGGTCTCCGTGTCCTTGGCTGGGCCCCTCTCCAGGCAGAGCTTCCCCTGCCGCTGCCACAGGAAAGGTGGGGAGTGGGCCCTGCCTCCCTCTGCCCACCTCCATCCTGCCCTTGGGAGCTGGGTGACGGGAAGGGACCAGTGTGGACTCTTAAGTCCCGGGACCCACTGCTCCCACAGGTATCACAGGGCTCTGGAGGCCAAACCTGCCCCCTCCTCCCGCCCCCTCCCAGAGGTTCTGTGAAGCTGTGAAAAGTCGGGGACCCAGGAGCCATGCAGGCCCATCATGCCAGCACAGTGGGCACCCGAGGGCATGCCCCGCTGTAAAGGTAAGAAGCGTGGACGGTGAACACACGTCATTGAGGGCCAGGTAGTGGTCTGCATGACGCGGGTTAAAGACACCATAGTGGAATGTGGGCTTTTAAAAAAGGGTGAAGAGATAGAGGGATGAGGGCCCGTGTCCTGTCCAATGGTGGACATGAAAACATTTAGTGTCAGTCTCACCGGCCACATTTCGAGGGCTCAGTGACACGTGGCTGGTGGTTGTCGTCATGGACAGTGCAGTTCTAGACCTTTCCCACCCAGGAGTCCAGCCACACCGTGTTGCTCTCGGCACACAGGGAACAGCCGTGGAACCAGACGACTCTGACAATAGGACAGTGATGGCGAACCTATGACACGCATGTCAGAGGTGACACGCAAACTCATATTTTTGGTTGATTTTTCTTTGTTAAATGGCATTTAAATATATAAAATAAATATCAAAAATATAAATCTCTGTTTTACTAGGGTTGCAAATATCAAAAAATTTCTATATGTGACACGGCACCAGACTTAAGTTAAGGTTTTTCAAAATGCTGACACGCCAAGCTCAAAAGGTTCACCACCACTGCAATAGGAGGAGCAGTGTTGCGTCTGGATAAATAAGGTGGGGACAGTGACCCCGGGGTCTTCAGGAAGGGACCCCCTCCTCCTTCTTGTGACAACAAACATGACAGCTAGTGCAGATGGCAACAGCCATGGGAAGAGCTCCGTGGTGACGGGGAGGCGGGACAGGCTCAGGCCCATGTGAGAGTGAGCACAAGACGGAGTCACATGGCGCTCTGACAGCCTGGGTGGCCCCGGCGGTGGGCAGAGCTGCCAGCACAGGAGGCTGCAGAAGCAAAGCCGTTGGGTTGGGCACAGGACCTTCGCCTCTGTTTGCAAAGCCCACTGGCTGCCCACCCAGAAGCAGACTGGCCTCTGAGAGTACGTACGCCCTTGCCACAGTCCTGCACGATGGACGGATGGTGACGAGGATCCAGGTGAGTTCTGGCGTGGGCCTGACTCAGTCTGAACACACAGTGGGTGGCACTAAGAGGACAGGGATACAGGGAAAAGCAAAGCCAGCCCCGGGTCCCTGAAGCCGTACCCTCCCGTGGTCACTGCAGGTCATCCGACCTGGCGAGGGACACAGGTGATGTGCACACTGAAGGGCCCCAGCACACCACAGAGAATGCAGGGTGCTCGCTAGGAATCGGCACCATCTGCTAGAAACACTAGCTAGATGGCCCACCCTGCCACTGGACAGTGGGTGTCCTCCTCAAGTGTGGTGCTGCTGTACCTGCACGTCACTGAAAGGTGCCAACCGCACCCACTGGGACAGCCGCCATGTCCATCGCAGCCTCATTCACAACTGCCAAGAGACAGAAGCAACCCGACGGTCCACACATGGATAGAGAAAATGTGGTCCATCCACACACTGGAGTATTATTCAGCCTTAAAGAGAAAGGACATTCTGACACAGGCCACCACGTAGATGGACCCGGGGTACATCATGCTCGGTGCAATAAGCCAGTCACAAAGGACAAGTACTGTGAGATTCCGCTTCCACGAGGAGCCGCGTTCACAGAGTGGAATGCTGGGGTCCAGGGGCCGGGCGAGGGGATGGGAAGTCAGTGTGTGTCTAATGGGGACATGGTTTCCGTTTGGGAAGACGAAGAGTTCTGGGGATGGATGGTGCTGCTGCACAACAGTGTCATGTCCTTGCTGCCACTGAACTGCCCATTCGAAAACAGGTCATGTGACTTGTACGTGTATTTACAATAAAAGAAAAAGTGTGACCGGAAGCCCCTTAGTGAGACGGAATGGGGACTAATCTGAAGAGAGGCCCTGGGAGGCTGCTGGAGACACTGCCCAGCACCGGGGGTCAGGCATAGGGAGAGATGGGCCAAGGGCTGGGGATGCTGATCCCACTGGGATGTGTCCACCTCACTTCACATTCCCAGAGCCAAACCCAGGATGCCCAGCATAAGACACAAAGCAACATGGGTACCTGCCTCACCTCACAGCCCCCCAGGAGCCCTGGGCGAAGGGAATCACAGGCCTGCTGGTAAGAAGACACTTGGGCCCTAGCCGGTTTGGCTCAGTGGATAGCGCATCAGCCTGTGACTGAAGGGTCCCGGGTTCAATTCAGTCAAGGGCACATGCCAGGGTTTCGGGCTCAATCCCCAGTAGGGGACGTGCAGGAGGCAGCCAATTGATGATTCTCATCTTTGATGTTTCTAACTCTCCCTCTCCCTTCCTCTCTCTCTCTCTAAAAAAAAAAAAAAGACATTTGGGCATCACCAGGGCAAAGATGGTAGAGAAACTAGCCAAGGGCACCACCCACAGCC